GAAAAAGAAATTAAAGCTGCAAAGATAGTATAGCATTGGAAGGAAGCCAAGTCAGGCGCATCATAATAATTAAGAGTTACCTACAGATCAAGCAGATAAATTAAATCTTAATTACTTCAAGCCCAAAAATATTTTTAAAAAAAGTCTCTCTCTTGGAAATTACCTGAAGTGGGTCTTGTTCTTGGTAGAGCACTAAATGTTCTTGGAATTGCAACGAAATTGTGAGGTGCGCCAATGTTTAAGGATTCTGATGCATAGTTGTTATTTCTGTTCAATCTATTTAATATGTTTGAGTTATTTCTGTTTTGTGCTTAAAAATCTTGGAATCATTTTGGGTTTTGCTTGGTTATGCACCTTTCATGGCAAGCAATCCCCCCACCAAAAAAAAAAATCAGCCACTGGGTTATTTATACACTTTAGTGACAAGTAACTTTTACACTACAAATGCCAGGCAAATGACCATGTCCAACAAGTGAAAATCATAAAATAACTTTATAAAATGAATTTTATGTAGCATTCTAGTGATCTACAGGCCAGAGGGATCATTTTATATCTGATGTTACAAAGCAATTAAAAACTTAGCTAAAATCACATCAGGTTAGAGACAGAGAAAACAAAGGGACTTCTAAAGAGAACGATTTGTATGTGAAACTTAACGTATATTCAAAGAATGTGAGCAACCACACCAGCTGGAAGGTAATGTAAATCTACACCTTATTCTTTTAAAGTTCCATATACAAGTTAACTCCACCCGAGTAATAAGTTACTTACAACTAGCGATTCCAGCTGAGAACAGAGCAATACTTGTGACTTAGTGGGTCATATCAAAATAATGATGTTTCAGGGGCTAGATGTTGGCGTGGATTATACAATAGCCTTTCACATCAGAGTTCTGGGATACAGACATAGGGCATATAGATGAAGTGCCTGACTGATGGCAAGATAAAAGAGATAATGTATAAAATACCACACAGATACAGTGGGTAACATTCATCTTTGTGTGAAGCTCAGGGTACATCGTTTGGTCAGTACAGAAAGAGCTTTGCTCCGCACCTAGGATCAGCTCAAGGTATTGCATTCCTCTGCTCGATAAACACAAAACTTTCATTTCAAAATATTACAAGAGCATGACATTAATTCTGTACAACAATGCTACAAAACAATCAAGAGAATCTCATTACTTACCAATACACGATGGAGGAAGTTCAGTTTCAACTTTTTTTGCTGCTTCTTGACCACCTAAAAGTGAAAACAAAATTGACATAATTTTGCTTAATCTTAGATTTCCTGTCAAAAAAAAGCAAGGACTGTCAACATCTTAAACTGCTCTTCTTTCTCACTAGAGCACGTCAACATATTGAAAGACGAAGATTTGGGAATCCTAAATTGCATTAAGATAGACAAGTCGCCAGGACCAGATGGGATGTAGCCCAGGTTTATCAGAGAGGTTGGGGAATTGGCAGATATCTTCACATCCTCATGGACTACAGGTGAAGCTCCAGAGGCCTGGAGATTAGCAAATGTTGTTCCCTCATTTAAGGAAAGGTGCAGGGATAATCCAGAAAACTACAGACTGGTGAACTTGACATCTGTGGTGGGGAAGCTCTTGGAGAAGATACTAAGGGACAAGATATATGTGTATTTGGAAGAAAATGGACTAGTTAGTGACAGGCAGCATGGTTTTGTCCAGGGAAGGTCATGTCTCACCAACCTGATTGAATTTTTTGAACAGGTAACAAGGATAATTAATGAGGGATGGGCTGTGGATGGAGTTTATATGGGCTTTAGTAAGGCATTTGATAACATCCCACATGGCAGATTCGTACAAAAACTAAAATCACATGGGATTTGGGGTGGGTTGGCCAGATGGATACAAAACTAGCTTGGTCATAGAAGACAGAGAGTAGTGGTGGAAGGATGTGTTTCAGAATGGACACCGGTAACTAGTGGTGTTCCACAGGGGTCGGTCTTAGGTCCTTTGCTGTTTGTAGTATATATAAATGATCTGGAGGAAAATGTGGGTAGTCTGATAAGCAGGTTTGCTGATGACACAAAGATTGGTGGAGTTGCTGATAATGCCAATGATTGTGAAAGGATACAACAGGATATAGACAGACGACTTGGGCACAGAAATGGCAGATGGTGTTTAGTCCAGCCAAATGCAAGGTGATGCATTTTGGAAGATCAAATTTAGGTGTGAATTCTATTGTAAATGGCAGAACCCCTAAGAACACTAACATTCAGACGGATCTGGGCACGCAGGTCCACAGTTCCCTGAAAGTGGCAACACAGGTAGCCAAGGTGATTAAGACGGCATCTGGCATGCTCGTCTTCATTGCCTGGGGCATGGAGTACAAGAGTTGACAAAACATGTTGCAGCTGTATAAAACCTTTGTTAGGCCGCATTTGGAGTATTGTGTGCAGTTTGTCACCACACTACCAGAAGGATGTGGAAGTTTTGGACAGAGTGCAGAGAAGGTTCACCAGGATGTTGCCTGGTCTCCAGGGCATTGACTATGAGGAAAGGTTAAAAAGACTAGGATTGTTTTCACTGGAAACACGACGGCTGAGAGGAGACTTGATAGAGGTATACAAAATTATGAGCAGCATAGATAGGGTAGACAGTCAGAGGCTTTTCCCCAGGGTTGAAGTTTCAATTACAAGGGGGCACAGGTTCAAGGTCAGAGGGCGAAAGTTTAAGGGAGTTGTGCGAGGGAAGTTTTTCACGCAGAGTGGTAGCAGCCTGGAATGCGCTACCAGAAGTGGTGGTGGAAGCGGACTCATTGAAGACATTTTAGAGGCACCTAGATGGATACATGAATATGGAGGGAATAGAAGGATATGGATCGAAAAATAGCAGGTTGTTTTGAGAGTAATTAGGGCATGACAGTTGGCACAGGCTTGGAGGGCCGAAGGGCCTGTTCCTGTGCTGCACTTTTTCATTTGTTCATTCATTGGGTTCAGCTCAGATTGATGAAATGAAAAACCCCTGTCTTTTGGCTGCTAGAAACCTGCATGAAATTTCAGAATCTCAATTCAGTTCCAACAGATGCGAACAGAAAAACCATCTTGAACAAGGAGAAAGAGAAATGGAACAACTGATTTGCACTATGCACAAGCTCTCAAACAGCAATAAGAGTTATTTATTTTTAGTGATGTTGGTCAAGAAATATCAATCACATTGCTGGAAATAGTAGTCCTGCTCTTACTTAAGTTACATGTTGTGGGATCTTTCACAAGGCAGATGGGATTTCAGTTACAATCCAACTCGAGAGATAGAGGTCAAGGTAGGCTGGTATGCAAACTAAAAAAATGTGTGCCAATAGATACGCTGACATTGGTCTGCAGACATATTGTTTTTTACAGGACATTAGTTTATACTCTGTAGCTAACTCATGCTGCAACTGACAGAGTGCTTAATAGCAGGTCGAATGCTAAAATAGATCTCACAAGATCAAAATCAACAAGCAAGAATTTGGGCATTTTAATTCTACTTCTCCAGTGCTCCTTTCAAATTTTTGGTCTGCATTTTGCTTGAATTTGAATGTTATACTTTAAAAACATGGTCAAGAACAGTTCACTGTTCAGTTTTGAGTTCTACCATCTTCATTAAATTCATGCAAAGACTCTATTTTGATCAAAGGAAATTAATCTGAAAAACCCAAATTAAATAATGTGATAATTTACCTTCTTCACTCAGGATTGGTTTCTGGCCAGGAATGCTTGATTCACGGCTCTCCCCAATATATCGGCCTTGACCATCAAAGCTCAAAACAGGCATGTGCGGTGTAAATGGTGGTAGAGGTCCTCCATTCACAACCTCCCCAATCAGTGTAGTCCGTTTCTGATCAATAAACAAGGACTTCTTCGGCAACAGTGGATAATCTGGATCAGATAACGTTGATCGGTTCAATTCAACACATCTGCAACATATTAAATGTCATGACAATTACAAAGGATAGACTGCTTAGGTTGTATAGTCTCTTTTGTTCTTGTTACAAGGTGGTTCAATTTCATCCAATGACGAACGATTACCCAACATAATTTAGGCATAGAGAAACAAATTAAGTTGGGGTAACATAATTTAGTTGGACAACTGCATGGCAGATACAATATAACATGGATGTACAAAGGAACTTGCATGTCCTTGTACAGCAGCCACTAAAAGTAAGCGTGCCAATGCAGTTAGGAAAGCATATGATGCATTGGCGTTCACTGCGAGAGGATTTGAGTACAGGAGCGAGGAAGACTTGCTGCAGCTGTACTTGGTCTTGGTGACTGTAGTCTGTACAGGTTTGATCTCTGAGGAAAAATATATTTGCCATAGAGACAGTGCAGCAAAGGCTCGCCAGACTGATTCCTGTGATGGCTGATTTGTCATTGTGACAGAATTAAAATGCCTGGGCTTGTATTCACTGGAGTTTGGAACAGCGAGGGGAGATCTCATTGAAACTCCTACAATTCTCAAAGTTGGACAGACTAGATTTGGAGGTCTTTTATGGATGTGGTCGGGAGGAGAGGGGAGAACAAGGGGTCATGGTCCAAGGATATACAGTAGGCCATTTCAAAATTGAAATGAGGAGACAATTCTACCAGAGAGGCTGCAGATGCTAAGTCACTGAATATAATTAAGAAAAAAACAGATAGATTTATAGAGGTTAAAAGTGTCAAGGATTATGTGGAAAGCACATTGAGATAGAAGGTTAGCCATGATCAGTTTGAATGGCAGAGCAGGCTCGATGGGCTAAATAGCCTACTCCTGGTACTATTTTATATGTTTCTAAATAGATTAGAATGGCAAGAGAAGAAATAAATTGGGAAAAAAAATTACTGATGAACTAGTAGATCAGCAGTGGGAAACACTTGAAATTATGTTTAATAGTTGAAATATAAACCCACCTGAAAAGAACGACTAGTAATCAATCATGATGTGACACGGATAGAAAAGGGATAAATGAACAAAGGAGAATATAACAAAATGAAATACAAAAGAAAAGGAAAGACAAAGAGAAACTTCAAAACCGAATGATAAAGCAATATAAATAGGAATAGTAAGAGTATTCTTCAAGCACAATTAACAAAAGGAAATGAGGACATAGAGCCATAGACTAATACAGCATGGAAACAGGCCCTTCGGCCCAAACAGGTCCATGCTGATCGTGATATCCACTCAGCTACTTCTAATTGCCTGCATTTAATCCATATCCCTCTAAACCCTTCTCATCCACGTACCTGTCCAAATGTTGTTTCAATGTTGCTATTGTACCTGCTTCAACCACTTTCTCTGGCAGCCCATTCCATATACACACCACCTTCTGTGTGTAGAATTTGCCCCTCAGGTCCTTCTTAAATCTTTTCCCACCCATCTTAAACCTATGCCCTCCAATTTTCAATTCCCCATCCCTGGGAAAAAGACTATATGCATTCATTCTATCTAAACCCCTCATGATTTAAATACCTCAATAAGGTCACCCTCATTCTCCCACGTTCCAAGAAATGAAGTCCTATCCTGGCCAACCTCTCCATATAACTCTAGCCTACTAGTCTTGGCCATTTCCTTGTAAATCCTCTTTGTCCACGTTCCAGTTTAACTATGTCTTTCCTATAACAGGGTGACCAAAACTGTATACGATACTCTCAAGTGCAGCCTCACCAACAACTTATACAACTATAACATACCATCCCAACTCCGAGACTCAATGCCTCGACCACTGATGGCCAGTATGCTAAATGCCTTCTTCACCACCGTGTCCACCTGTGACGCCACTTTCAACGAACTATGTACTTGTATTTCTAGGTCCCTCTGTTCCACAACACTCCTCAGGACCTTACCATTTATTGTATAAGTCCTACCTTGGTTTGACTTTCCAAAATGCAACACCTCGCACTTATCTGTATTAAATTGCATTTGCCAATCCTCATCTGATCAAGATCCCTCTGTAATTCTTGATTACCTGCTTCGCAATCAACAATGCCTCCTAATTTTGTATCGCCCGCAAACTTATTAATCATGGCTCGTACATTCACATCCAGATCATTTATGTAAATAACAAATAAATATCTCACTAAGGAATGCATACAACAAGTTTATGGACATTTAAACATATAAAAAGGGAATGCCACAAGACTGAAGACTGGCTGCTGTGATTGTTGCATCTAAAAACAGAGCTAGATCAAGCTCAGCGAACTTTAAGCTGAACAGCTTAATAATGGTGATAGAAAAATAAGGATTCCTATCATACAGTGAAATCATAAAGAGCAAAATTCAGATAGCATGAAACTCCAGCTGTGGAAAAGTTGTCAGCCATTCTCACTGGCAGAACTACTACTAGAAAGATAAGCCATAAACCAAATCTCCAGACTGGTAACTCTGCATGGTGAACTCCTGCACACTTGTCATGTGACTGTGCCAACTAATTGGAGCAGTTTGACCATGCTACAGTACAAATTCACAGGCCATACATCATTCCAAATTTGTGTGAAAGTTGCTCAAATGCTTCAAGTATGGTTTAGCCTGTGGACAGTTAAAATTGCTGTCAATTGGAGACAAGGTGAAATGGACAACTACAGCAAGTGGAAAACCATGTTCAAAACAAACAATGGACATTGCAGAGGTATGGGAGATTCCATTTCATGTTTGTCAGCTTTCCAAAGCAAAAGGCAAACATCCAGGAACAGTTCAACAAGGAGGCATTCTCTGCAGATGAGGATGAGGATGGATGTCATATTGTTAATATAGTGACGAAGAGATACGTATTCAGAGTTTTCCTTATTGTCACATGACCATGATCTGAAGTAGGTTTTTTCACAACTGTAAAGGGGCAAGTCAAGTCAGGGCATTTCATGAAAACAATTTGGGAAGAATAGGTAAACAGAACAAATTTAAAAGTGTTCAAAACTTTCATCAATGTGCAAACAATAACCATCAGATTAATGCATTTAAAATTTTAAAACAAAATCCTAATTATCTTCAAAAACCAGACAACTCATATATACTTGTCTCATCTTCTCCAATTTGGTTCATTTAAATTTTGAGCACACAGATGTTGCGAAGGACATTTCTCAGCATTTTTGCCTCACTGATGGATGAACTCCAAATCAGAATACCACAACATGTCCAAAACGAGAGTAAAATTTAATTGAAAGGAATAAATTACCTAAATATGAAACACTGCCCAAAGGGCTCCAGTCAATGCACGTTGAAACAGCTTAGACAACCCTCCACCATATAAGTTTAACAGACAGGATGGAGTTAGTGAAGTATTTAAAAGCAAAACGAATATTGCTAATGGCATAAAAACAGACAAAAGACACAAAGTAAGAAAGACACACTGGGAGATTTCAAGAAGAACACAGGGGCAACAGCAAGGCCCTCAAATTTAATATTCAGTCAAGAGAGATAATGAATGCCAAGTATAAGGAAAGAGTACGCCTGACATTTCCATCAAGCTAAGATAGAGCAATGTAGGATGTTAAGGTTAGAAAAGCAAGATGGAGCAGAAAATCTTCTAGGCCTTATGGAATTGAGAACCATTCTGGTGTTCATCTGATCTCAGTTTGACTGGACAGAATGGAGATCACACTGAGTAGTCAGCACATTAGGATGAAGGAGGGAAGCAACAAAATGACAATTGTTGTATCTGTTATACCTACAAAATATGCCTTGAGAAGAAAATTAAGTAAGGAAGATGTTTTAAAAACACTAAATACCCCATATCGTTTTAACACTTACCCATCACTTAAACTTAGACCGTAGTCCCTGGTGAATTCTTCTGCCTCTTCACAATCCTTAAAAAGCAACATTCGAACAAGAGTCTCCATTGGAAACATTGTGGATCGCTGAGAACTGACTGTGAATGCAAAAGTCAAAGTCTTCAAAGCCTCACGACGTACCTGAGAGAAAGCAACAACACAAACAATGCTTTTTTCATTGTCTGCACCTGCCTGATCCTGAGAGTTCATTAATACAATGTGGGAGAAAAGACAATAGTTTATCATAAGTCAGCCAACAAGTAAAATCAGCTGCACTGAGCATAAATATATTGTCCTATACAGTCATATAGCACAGAAACAGACCATCAGTCCAACCAATCCGTGCTGCTCATAATCGCAAAATAAACTAGGCCCACCTGCTTCCACTTGGTCCATATCATAGAACCCCTACAATGTGGAAGCAGGCCATTCAGCCCATGGAGTCCACACCAATTCTCTGAACTGCATCCCATCCAGACCCCCCTCCCTACTCTATCCCTGTAACCCTGCATTTCCCATGGCTAATCTACCTAGCCTGCACATTCCTAGAAACTATGGCCAATCCATCTAACCTGCACTTCTTTGGACTGTGGGAGGAAACCAGCGCACCTGGAGGAAACCCAACCAGACACGAGAATGTGCAAACTCCACACAGGCAGTCACCCGAGGGTGGAATCAAACCCACGTCCCTGGCACCGTGAAGCAGCAGTGCTAACCAGTTCTCACTATCCATCCAAACATTTCTTATCCGTGTACTTATCCAAATGTCTTGTAAATGTTGTAATGATACCCACATCAATTACTTCCTCTGGAAATTCATTCCACATATGAACCACTGTGTAAAAACGTTGCCCTTCAGGTCCTTTTTCAAAATCTTTCTCCTCACCTTAAAAATATGCCCCCGGTCTTGAAATCCCCTACCTTAGAGAAAAGACACCTGCCATTTACTGCACCTATACCTCATGATTTTATAAACCTTATACAGTCATCTCTCAACCTCCTTCACTCCAGCTAAAACAGTCCCTGCCTATCCAGCCTCTCATTATTCAAGCCCTCCATTCTCGACAACATCCTGGTAAATCTTTTCTGAACCCTCTCTAGCTTAATAATATCCTTCCTATAATAGGGCAACCAGGACTGCACAATACTCCAGGAGAGGCCTCACCTCAACATGACGTCCCAACTCCCATACTCAAAAAACTAAACAATGAAGGAAAGGGTGCTAAATGCCTAACTACGCTATCTATATGTGATGCAAACTTCAAAGAATTGTGTACCTGAAACCCTAGGTCTCTCTGTTTTACAACACTACCTAAAGCCGTACTTTTAATTATATAAGTCCTGCCTTTGTTTGTTTTACCAAAATGCAATAACCTCACATTTATCCAAATTCAAGCCATGTGCCGATCTTCAGCTCATTGACCCAATTGATCAAGATCTCTTTGTCATCTCAGATATCCTTCTTCACAGTCCATTACACTATACCACCAATTTTGGCGTCATCCACGAACTTAATAACCATGACTTCAAAATTCTCATTTAAATCGTTTAGATAAATGACAAACAAAAGTGGACCCAGCACCAATCCCTGTGAAACGTCGCTGACAACAGGCCTCCAGTCCTAAAAACAACCCTCCATCACCACTCTGTCTCCTGCCATTAAAGCAATTTTGCATCCAATTGGCAAGCTCACCCTGAATCCCATGTGATTTAACTGTAATAATAAAAGTCTACCATGTGGAATCTTGTCAAAGGCTTTAATAAAGTCCAAGTAAACAACGTCCACCGGTCTGCCATCATCAATCTTCTGGGTTACTTCCTCTAAAAGCTCTGCCAAATTTGTGATACATGATTTCGCTTGCACAGAACTGTACTGACTACCCTAATCATTCTATGCTTCTCCAAGTGAACGTAATGCTATCTTTCAGAATCACCTTCAACAGCTTACCTACCACCGAAGTCAGACTCGCTGGTCTATAGTTCCCAGGCTTCTCCTTACATCCCTTTTTAAACGAAGACTCAGCATTAGCCACTCTCCAGTCATCCAACACCTCACCTTTAGTTATAGATAACGCAAGTATTTCTGCTAGGGACTCCAGTTTCCTCCCTAATCCTACAAGCCTCACTTTTCACTCTAACAGGAACATAATGCCTCCAAATACTCGTTATCACACCTTTGAAAGCCTCCCACACATCAGTCACCCCTTTACGTATGAATGGTCTACTCTGGTCAACTTCTGAAAGTTCTTGTCTTATACCACGAAAATTTGCCTTGCTTCGATTAAAACTAACTTTTATGGAAGGCTTATCTTTTTCCATAACTACTCTAAAATTAATAGAATTATGCTCACTAGACCCAAAGTGTTCCCCTACTATCACTTCAGTCATTTGCTGTGCCTTACTATCCAAGAGAAGATCAAGTTTTGCTCCTCCAGTAGGAACATTGATAGATTGATAAAGAAAATTTTCTTACACACGTTTAAATGAATTATTCACCATGCAAACCTTCAACACTATGATGCATGATGAAAGGACAGAAGATATGGCTGTTAAATTTACCAATGACACAAAAATAGGTAGGAAAGTAATTTGTGAAAAGGACATAGGAGGCTACAAAAAGGTACGGACAGGTTAAGTGGGTGGGCAAAGACGTGGCAACAGAAGCATGAGGAAATGTGAATTATCCATTTCAACCAGAAAAAAAATAAAAGAGCACATTATGTAAGTGGTGAGAAACTGCTGAACTTGGATGCTTTGAATTTGGATGACTTTGTGTATGCATCACAGAAGGTTATCATGAAAGTACTGTACAGCAAGTAATTAGAAAAGAATGTTATAGTTTATTGTGAGGTGAATTGAACACGAGTAGGAAGATCCTACAAGTAGGAAGTTCATGATTTACAGCATCCGCAGTTCTTTCGGTTTTTACAAGTAGGAAGATTATGCTTCACTTATCCAGGGCACTGGTGAAACTCAATCTGGAGTAGTGTGTGCAACAGTGGCTTCCATATTTAAGGAAGGCATAAATGCAATGAAAGCAGTTCAGAAAAGATTTGCTGGAATGACAGAGTTGCCTTATTAAGAAAGGATGTACAGGCTAGGCTTGTATCAGCTGCAGTTTAGGGGAGTAAAAGGCAATTTGATTAAAATATAAAAGAACCCGAGGGGTCTAGACAGGTGAATTAGGAAAGGATGCCTTCTCTAGATGGAGATTCTAGAACTAGGAGTCACTGCTTCAAAAGAAGGGATGACCCATTTAAGATATATAGGGAGAAAATGTATTTCTCAGCAGATGGAAAGTCTTTTGAAGTCTCATCAGTGGAAGCAGAGTCATTGAATATTTTTAAGGCAGAGATACATTGTTTTTTGGTGAGCAAGGAAGGTTTTCAATGATTCTGTGGGTAGACAGGAATTTGGAGTAATCAATTTGGAGCCTGGTCATGTACAGATTAGGGTGATGGCTATCTAGGGCCAAAATACTTCTCCAGCTTTAGCATCCAGCACTCAACATCAAGCACTCTCAAATCAGAAGCTCCGCACAAAAGAAAACGACATTCTACTATAGCTGTAGTGTCAGTATGTAGTGCTGTAAATGAATTCAGAGGCAGGATCCAACTTGAAAGTGGACCGAATCCAAATGAGATCCAAGTCAGCTTGGGTCATGAGATTTGCTTAACATTAAGTAAATCAAGATTCGGTGAAGAAAGCAAACTGGATCTTAAGACTCAATTGACTGTACCTGAAGACTACTTTGTTTTAAAGAGTCAGTGCCACCTTTTGTTTGGCCAGCCAATCTTATCATGAAGATTTGCACACGAGTCCCAATGGGCAGTTAAACGAATAGATTGACGTTACTGTGGATGCATAACAAGGCTGCCTCAGACCTCATTTGCTTTGGGTCCTCATAGTCAGCAGCAAAGGATGGGGAGACAGCAGTTTTCTCTCATCAATCTGGACTAGAACTTAGATTTCAAAATCTGAGCAAACAAGATCCTAACTAGCACTCAGGTTGAAAATTCAAGAACAGACCAGAATGTAATGGCATTATTCTGCAGTGAACTAACTGCACTAATGTAGCAGGCAAACCAACTCAATGCAGAGGCTACAGTAGTTACTTTATGAAGCAGAAAGAAAAGAGCATTAGCACTTAATAGCAGGAAAGGACTTGCAGAAAAAAGGTTTTGCTAAACTAATAGGTGGTGTTCCATTTTCTGGGTAAATGGTTTATCAAAAGACAACAGAACTTTCAGAAAGGTAATCATTCTAAGTTTCCAAATCAATCTGCTGTTGAAGCCATGCTATTCCCAATTCATAGATTGTCAGTCCTTCCTGAAATGTACGACTAAAATGGTGATTGAGAACATCTCAATTTACTTCTAGGCTTCTTTTGGTCTGGGATTTGGAAAATCAACCAGATTTCCTCTCCTGATTATCACCTAGCTGGGTTGTACAGGTGAAGGACAAGCTGAAGAGCAGGCTCAAACATAAAGCCTTTGCGATTGAACAGTACAGTAACATTCATTAGGATTTCCACATAAACAAGTGACAGCAGTGTACAGAAATGCTGATACCTATGGAGACCAAATATACTTCAACATCTTAAGAAGAGGTAAACACATGGAAAGAACAAAACTGGAAAGTAGAACAATAATAGCTGAATGGGTAAAATCAGACAGTTGCATCAAATTTTACAGTAAAGCAAAGAAAAAAATCCACAAAATCATGGTCAGCCGCAACCAGCAGCTTTGTGAAATTATCACAATTCCTTGCTTTCACACAATGCACCATCACCACTAAAAAGAGACTCATAAGCTAGTACATTTCTCAGCTTGTTGGGCAATTGGCCATACCTGTTTGAAGTAACGATGCAAAATGCAAGCATTCAGATAGGAGGCTGATCTAACCAGCTTGAAAAACCGCACAAAGTTATTGTTGTTAAGAGCAGCAAAAGCCTGGACTGCCAATTTCACCTCGGGGGAGTTCCGGACAACTGGACGCAACTGCTGGACTTCTCTGTAAGAGTACAGAACATGAAAATAGTAGATCACTCATTTTAAAACCTGTACACTGAGGTGCCAGAGCTGAATCTAATAAAGGGGCAACTACAGTCAATAACAAAAACTTCTCAGATTCGGACCCTGTCTCTGTTCACCTGATATAGAAATAATGATCCCATAACTGTTACCTTTAGATTGACTATTTCAATGCAATCCTGGTCCTGGCTGGTGCCCCATCTTACGTACTAAAACTGAGCTCATCCAAGGCTCTGATAACCTCATCTTAGCTCACACCAAGTCTGGTTCATCCTTCATTCCCAAGCTTACCAATTCCAAGCTGGCCTCCAGCATTTCGCCTCCTCCAGTCCTACCAGACTTGTAGATCTCAAAGCTCCTCCAATTCCGGCATGTTCCATACCTCTGTGCTCAGTTACTCTAACAGTAGCAGCCATGTCTTCAGCTACCTCAGCCCTACACTCTGGAGTGCGCTCCCTATACCTTTCCAACTCCCTCTCCTCTAAGATGGCCCCCAAAATTCATCTTTTTCACCAAACTTTGCCAGTTTTTAATATTCTTAATTTGCTATTGAACTTTGATTACCAACAGTTTTGTGGTGTTCATTGGCATGTTGTATAGTATTAAAGTTGCTTTATAAATCCAAACTGTAGCTGCTATTGTTGTAAAAAGCCATTTGGGATTCTTGATTTTGCAGGGTACAAGGCATTTGAAAATCTTTATAAAACACTGGTCAGCCCTGGTTTAGATTGTGTTCAGTTTTGGTCATTAGGAAGCAAGTCAAGACCTGAAGACTGCACAAAACAAATTTATCAGGATGATATCAAGGTGAGGTCATTTAGTTTTATGGAAGAACAAGCAAGGCTGTTTTATTTCCCCTTGAGAGCAGAAAAAGATAAGGGGAGATAACAGGAAAAAAACTGCAGGGCATTAGAATAAAAGCGTGCAGGTGGGACTAACTGAATAGTTCTTTCAAAGAACCAGGATGGTGGGTAAAATGGCTTCCTTCTGAGTTCCATGATTTTCTGATATAGGTTTTGTGAAATCAATGGCCCAAGTGACTGAAAATATTAGAGGTGAAGCTGTTGCTTTTCACTGAGTTGCTGTGCATCTATTTAAAAAATGTACAATATCTCAAAAATCTCGGCGATAAAGCACAATGGGCTAAATCTCCAAATAATAGCACTTCCAAACATTTTGAGATGACCTGAGGTTATCCAAGAACTTTCCTCCATTGTACCTCTTACACATTCTCTATCCTAGTGCTGACAGGAGTTACCACAAATTACTGCAACTCACCAATGCAATTTCTGGTATTTTAGAAATTGAATAATTCATGTGTTGGGAGTTGAGATTTTAAGGAAGCTAATGACATCCCTATTCAAATAATTCCACAGAGGCTAATATCCCCTCACCAAGTCACCCCTTATTTACATATGCGTAGTACTTGACAGCGGTCTGGCTTCCTTAGAGCCAACTCTAAGTGATCTGAACTTCTGACACTCCGGTTTATATCTGTCAGCCAAGGCTCAGATTAACAGCCCAATCAGGGAACGTATATTCTACGCAGTCCACCTGGCTGACTTTTTCACATCTATACTTGTCAATGTAGAAAACTGAGATATGATCCACCCCCTGATGCATGCATCTTCATAATCAAATGACCATCCACTGTGATGAAGGTTTATAATATATTATTATTTGGAAACTAAGGTTTTGCATTACAGTTCCCAGGAGGATTTTTTAATGGGTCAGAGACTTTTTTTCTACATTAGTTCTAAACAAGCTTTGAAAGAAATCCTGTGATTTCAGCTAAATGCCTGAGCAAGCCACCTGGTGAGATAATTGCTGAAGAGTTTACGCATTTAAAATTTATGATCCAGAGAGACGCAGAAGAGAGGCAACAATGTCGTCCTTCTGCAAGTTAGTTTTGGCAGTCTCCAGGCCAATCTCATGAAGTCTTAAGGTATTTAATAGTCAAAGTAGACATAGCTGGGAAAGCCTTATATTTTATCTTAAGAGTTCAGAGTACAGTGATTAAACTTGTGGCTATATTTCAGGACAAGATAATAATAGAGAACCACATTTGAAGAATGTGCAGAAATCTGAAAGTGACTTTATCAGTATTCAGGGGAAGTAAGCTTCAAAGGCTAGGCCAGCATTTATTGCCCATCACTAGTTGCCCTTGAGAAAGTGGTGAAGAGCCACCTTCTTGAATGCTGCAGCCCTTTAGGTGTAGCTACAACCACAATATTATTAGGGGAGGGAATTCCAGGATTGTCATTAAGTGACATTGAAGGAATGTTGATGTATTTCCAAGTCAGGATAGTGCATAGCTTGGAGGAGAACTTGCAACTGTGGTGTTCCCTGTATCTGCTGTCACTGTCCTTCTAAATGGCAGTCATGACTTTGGAAGATGCTGTCTCAGGAGCCTCGGTTAATTTCTAAGCCCATCTTGCAGATGGTACATGTTTGTGCAACTTTGTGTCAATGGTGAAAGGAGTGTGGATGTGATGCCAATCAAGTAGGCCGATTTGTCCTGGGTGGCGTCAAACTTCTTGAACGTTGTTAGATCTGCACTCATCCAAATAAGTGGGGAGCAGCCCATCACACACTTAACTTGTATCTAAATAGACAGCAGACTTTGGAGGATGGTTAGTTACTCGCTGCAGGATCCCTACCCTCTTAGTTGCTCTTGTAGCCACTTTCCTCATATGGATAGTCTAGATCAGTTTCTGGTCAACGGTAATCCCCACAGTGATGGTATGACACACAATGTCAAGGGGATAGGGTTAGATTTTCTCTTGTTGGAGATGGTCATTACCTAGCATTCGTACAGTGTTACTTGCTACTTGTTAGCCCAAACCTGGATGCTGTCTAGCTCTTGCTGCATTAGGACATCGACTTCTTCAGTATCTGAGGAGTCACACAAGGTGCTGAACATGCCCATATCTAACCTGATGATAGAGGGAAGGTCATTGATGAGATAGTTGGACCTAGGACACTCCCATGAGGAACTCCTGAAGAGATGTCTTTAATTTCTCCTTAAGTCCCCTTGACTTGAATTCGGTTAAGAGTGAAGACAGGAATGCTATTTCTCAGGTGAAGTGCCTGTGAAAGATTATTACCGGGAAAAGGACCAAATCTTGTTTATACTCTTCATGACAAGTTCTTTCTAAATTGCTATATTTGTTTTGTTTCTATTATTTCATGGAATTAACTTGTGTTCGTTTGTTAAGATGTACATTATATGCTCTCAGGAGGTTGCCAAAGTGACTGACCACCATGGTCAGAAACCAAACTGCAAAGTTAAAACACAGGTCAGGTTTTACTCTGTGATCCGACTTGTCCAATATTACCCAAGTTAGGATCAAGTCATATTTTATCAGATGTGGGAGCCTGATGCAATAAATATGGAGCAATGGACTTATTACTCACCGGAGAATATCTCCCTCATTGAGATTAAGCAGAACGTGGTAGCCTCTGAACTCTGCCTCATTCTCACAGTAGGTATCCTTGGTCGCCAAGTCCTGGTACATTTCTTTCAGGCTTTGCAAACACTTAGTCAAGTTTTCATCATTTATCTTGGCATCATAGGAAGACATTGGCTCTTCACAAAGATGATGACTGCAGTGGATGTGGAACCGTGTGCATTTCTCAATAAGCATCACTGTTAGCTGATTACAGAGATGCTGCTGAGTAATATCCTGACAGAAGGGAAACAAAGCATGTCAGACAGGTATAGTTATTGCTTTTTCCATTTGGGTTACCCTGACACATTGTAACATCGGTATGAGTGTGAAAGTACTGAATACAGGAGTATTCTGTACAGTACTGGGATTCAATGCAGATAGGTTCCAGTCTGTCATTATAAAAGATTATAAGAGGACATGAACACAACATATACAGAATGTTTCATGATGTGTAAAAGCAGTTACGCACTGTACGAGGTGCCACGTTTTGGCCAAAACATTAAATCGAGGCAGATATACAAGCTCCCTTGGTACCATCCAACGAGAAACAGATGGTCTCTCCAACTTATTCCTTAATCAACACCAATCACTAAAAACCAAAAATGATTGATGAGAGCAGAGCGGTAAACATTGTTACTTTAGTAAAGCTTTTACCAAGGTTGTAGGGTAGACTACTTAGTAAGTTAGATCACATGGGATTCAGGGAGGGCTTGTCAACTGGATACAAAATTGGCTTAACGGCAGGAGACAGACAGATGGTGGAGAGTTGTTTTGTTTGGACTGGAGCCCTGTGACTAGTGGTGTTCCGCAGGGATCGGTGCTGGATCCCCTATTGTTTGCATTTATGTAAACAATTTGGATGAGAATTTAGGAGGAATGGTTAGTAGTTTTGTGGATGACAGTGAAATTGGTGGTGTAGTCAACAGTGAAGCAGATTAGCCAAGATTACAAAGCGATCTTGATCAATTGGGCCAATGTACTTATGAGTCGCAGATCGAATTTACTTTGAATAAAAATTACTAGCACCAGGTGCAATAATGTCAGATTTCCAAAAAAGAAAACTGCTTGTGCTCTGGGAGCGCAGTGGCACTGTCTCTATCTCAGAGTCAGGACACCTGGGTTCCACTCCCACATGCCCCAGGGATATGTAATAACATCTCCTAAAAAGGTCAAGAAAATATCTAAAAATGCTTCTACCTTGTCCCAAGAATGGACTCCAACCCCACCTTGGACAGGGCCCTAAAATCACTACCTATCTATTTCTCTCTCTCATAGCTGTCCCCCTACGGCCCTCCAAATTAGAACAAATAAAATATCGAATTAGGGACAGACTTGTGTAACAGACCAACGCTGATTGGATCTGGATGAAGACAACCAAACTCCAAAACATTTCAAATCAAATTTTTTGGGACTAATTCACAGGTTAACTAGCCCTAGCAATTAACAGGTGATCACAAAGAAACTGGGTTGATCTGCTACAGCGGTGAGCCTGCAAGTAGAATGTATTTTTTAACTTGACTTGCATTGCCAGACCAAAGGCATCAAGACAAAACAAAGCAATGCAAATTCATAATGAGTTGCAGTGATTTACAGCAACTCCTCCTGGCACCTCACCTGCACATCCCCATAGATAATGTCAACAACTTTCCGAAGACAATGGTAAATCTGAATGGATATGAAATGTATGTTCACATGTGCATAAAATCTTGGCTGAGCATCAAAGATGAATTGAGCATTGTAAATTCACCTTTCTTACTCCACGAGTTCTGTTCCATACAAAATCATACCAATCCCGGTAATTGCCTTCACCCAAATCCATAATCTTCGTCACGAGATAATCCATGGTCATTTTCAGGACAGCAGCAGGCCGAAGCTCATGGGGTAAAGGTTCTTCCTGATCTGCAGATGACCTGCTATATTCTTTGATTGCAGCTTCATGGTTAACCTGTGGGATGGCAAACATATCCATCGCTGCCTGTTTGTAATAGGATCATTGATACTGAATCATTGGAACCTCAAAAATAGAAATCTGAGAGCTACATGACATAGTCAGGGCAAACAAATTCAGCAGTAAGTCATTATGGCACATGCAGCCATAAATGTTTCAGAGTTAAACAATTAATATGATGCATGTCCAGCACAGGCTAATTATGGCACCGAATTATGCACAGATCTGTATAAGACTATTACCACTGACAGGGTCAGGAAACATTGACTGTGTCAGTGGTTTCTTACAAGTTCAAAATAAAAACGTCCTTATTTTTGGGCAGAATGCAAAAGCAAAGAAGTTATAACAAACCTGGTATAAAACACTAGTTTGTCTTCAACTGGACTATCATGTCCAGGTCTAAGCACCACATTTTAGGAAGGCTGTGAAAATATTCAAGAGACTACAGAAAAGATTCAGAAGAATGGTTTCAGGAATGTGGAAATTTAGTTATGAAGATAGAGTAGGAAGTTGGAACTGTTTTCCTTAGAGATAGTTCAGTGGAGGTTTGTCGAACGTGAAGTACAACACCACAAAAAGTATGGGTAGATACAGGGAAACTATTTCCTTAGATAGAAAGGTTGTAATTTGGAGGGCAGAGATTTAAGATAACTGGTAAAGTGATGATAACACAAGAAAAAGACCTTTTTTACTCAGCAAGTGATCAGAATCTGGGATCCACTGTACAAAACTGAGGGAGGCAAATCCAATCATGGCATTTAAAAGGGAAATGGAACATCACCTGAAAAGGAATGCTGTTCAGGGCTTTGGGAAAAGGCAGGTGTGTGGCACTGGGTGAATATTTCTTGTGGGCGAGGGGGAAGAGAGAGAAGAAGCAGCAGCACAGACAACAGGCTGAATGCCCATTTTCTCAGCTTCATCCATTCTGTGAAAACCTGATTCCACAAATTGGCACTACATCAGAAGGGCTGAGAAATAAAAAGAAAAATAAAAAAAAGTTCAAGCAAAGATGACTAGTTTCATAGGGGCCCCAACGATATAGGGACCCCTTGCACCGGGGCACCAGCACTATAGGGACCCCTCACACAGCCTACTGCAGTTTGCGCAGTAGTTGTTTCCATGTTTAAATATCTTGTTTTCTTCCCAAGTAACCACAATAACACTTTCCTTACCAAAGAAAAAGAAAACAACAGTAAAACAACTCAGGCTTCTGTTGTTCTCAACACCAGGAAGAAGGGTGCTGCAGACAGTTTACTCAGAGACACTATTTAATCAAATTACGCATTAAATATGGTTAGGTAAAATACAAAGCCAGTTTGAACTAGAGTTGTAAAAGCAGAAACCAAAGCTGCACAAATAAATACAGGTTACATCATAAACTATAGAATGATCACCATTGTGAATCCATTAAACAGAAAATTTGAAACTGACCTTATCAGTGCCAGGAATAGTCTCAAAAGAGCTAAGTTGGTATCTTGTCTCCCTCATATAACGCTCTTTCTCTGGACACATATCCAAACATGTCCCCACAATAGCTTTTGCCTTCTCCAGCTCAGTTCTTTTCACTCGAGCTAAAGGTACAGAAGGAGACACAGAAAAATTATCTTTTTCTTTCAGCATAAATTAAAACTCTTCCTTTTACTGCAGCACACCCAACAGCTGCACTGTCTGAAAGGCTCCATCTTTTCATTAAATGTTGATCATTATGTGAGGACAGTTCCCAACACAAATTCAATTATTTTATTCATTACCCTCTGGTCATTCAACATCCTCATATGTTGCAACTCTGCCATAGTCTTAGCATGATGTCACCTCATGCTATTTAAACATCTCTTCAGCCTGACAAATTGAGCTACTGAAGCTACAAAGGAAGAAAAGTGTATGAGAGAAAAACAAAAAATAGGAGCACGGTAAAGAAAGTAGAAATTAGAGTCAACATAAATACAAGAAAAAGAAGGAGGTGATTCACTGAGCTAAGCAGCAAATCTAGCTATTGGACAAATCATTTCTTATAAATCTGTAAGCAACATAGTTGGAAGTCGATTAGCATCCTTAAAAGTGATGAATTTCACCAAATGCTGCAATATTACCTTGTCTCATTAACTTGTCCCTCTGGTCAAGTACCCTGTATTTGTCTTCTGGAGTATTGGCAACTGTACCAGCTAGATGGGTGAGGGAGGAAGGTAGCGACACCGCACGGTCAGGAATTGATACCTGATCTTCAGTCTCTTGTAGATCCTGAGATTCATTCTCTGACTGCAGAGTCTTCAAAGCAGATGTTTTCTTCACTGGTGATCTGCAGAGCAAATCTAATTAACAAACATTTGATACCGTTTAAACCCCAAATCACAGCATATTTCTCCCCTCAGGTAGTTCCTTATTTTCACATTGTCCATAACAAAGCGCTAAATCATACAAATTAAGAAGATTTTCACACAATGTGGCACTCATCAATCAACACATCTATGGTATCACAAGCCGCAGCACTATCCAACCTTACCTAAACATGAATCAGCGTTAGCTAGGATCCAGCCCTCCTTAAGCATAACCCAGTGTTAGCCAGGATTCAGTTCTCGTTAAACTTGACCCAGTATTAGACAATACCCATTTGTCCAACATTTGGACTTCAATGAGCTGCAGATTCTTTCAGTTTACACTGGGATTTTGAAAGTCATGATTCTTAACCCCCGGCATAAACACCACTCACTCTGCACTAATTCCATCAAAAATCCACCCACAAAGATGCGTACTTCCATTTCAGAACATCTACTATTGAAGCCCTTAAGAAATAGAAGGAGTAGACAAGACAGCCTGTCAAGCGTCTTCTACCATTCAATGCGATCATGGCTGATCTTCAAACTCCACCTTTCCTGCTCACTCCCCAATTCCTTGATTTCCTGACACCCAAAAAATCAGTCTCACAACCTTAAGTAAATTCTAACTCCTCTAGATTACAGATGCCTAAGATTCACAGCCCTCTTAGTAAAGTCAATGCTCATCCCAGTCCTAAATAATCAGCCACTTATCCGAAGATTGCAGCAGGTATCATAAAGGCAGGCCTACAGCTGCATGAACTCCAGATGTCCATAGTTATACTTCCAGCATCATTAATGGAACCGGAGGGAAATTTCACTTTCCCTATGAGCAACGCCGGGTGAGATTCGAGAGGTGTGTGTAAAAGAGAATTACTTGTTCACAGGAGCTCCTGTAGAAGATCTTGGAGGTGGATTGCGTGGAGATGACTGTTCTATATTAACCTTATCTTTGCTGTGTTTCTCTTCATCGCCTTTCGATACTTTTGCTTCTTCCAGTGAAGATTTTTTCCCAGGACCTAGAGATGCAGGGTAGGAGAAAGAAATAAGTCATTATTTCATCATAACTCAATACGAGGTCTCAGCACAATACTCATGCAGTTTTTACAGTCTCATTCCCATCCTACAGGCTAGAAGGAACCAAACAACTGGTTAGAGTGCTGCCACACACCTTTAGTCAAATAACCACTCTGATTACAATAAAGAACATGTCACAGGGCGCCTCTATAGAATCGTAGAAACATATTGTACAAACGAGGCACTTTAGTTCATGCAGTGTGTGCTGCCAAAAATATACACTACCCTAGACTCATCCCACTTTCCCACACCAAGCCAACAGCCTTGATTGTAATGACATTTTAAATGCTCATCCATGTACATTTTAAAAGGTTTGAGGTTTCCTGCCTCAACCACCCTTCCAGGCTGTGTGTTGCAGACCCTCGCCGCCCTCTGGGTGAAGAGGTTTTTCCTCAAATCCCCTCGATGCCTCCTGCTTTTCACTTTAAAATTATGCCTCCTTGTTATTGACCCTTAAGCTAAAGGGAACAGCTGCTTTCTAACCACCCGTCCATGCTCCTCATAATCTTATATACCACCATCAGATTCCCCCCTTAATCCTCTGTTCCAAAGAAAACAAGAGAGACTGGAGACTCGTGTTCATAGCTGCAATGCTCCATTTCAGGCAATATCCTGTTGAATCTCCTTTGCACTCCTCCAAGTATAATCACATCTCTCTTATGAAAAACTAATGCAGCAGATACCATAGCAGCTGGAGTTCCTGCATGTCAGTCTGGTGCAGAACAACTTCAAAGTTCCTGTTTCAGCCAATCTACCAATGAGAGAAGTTAATTAACACTGGTATTGGAAGTTACCCAGAAGAAAACTTGCTTCGTAATTCTTTCATGGCATGTGGGCATTATTTCCCATCCCTAATTACCACAGAGGTAATACTGGACTGATGTCTCTGGAATGTCACGACACCCACTGCTGTAAGGGAAGGAGTTCCTGGATTCAGACCCAGTTGCAGAGAGGGAATAACATCTAGTTCCAAGTCAGGCTGATGAGTGGAAGTATTCCAATACATCTGCCGCCCTTGTCCTTCTAGATGTTGGAGGTCACAGATTTGAAAAGGTGCTATCAAAGGAGGTTGGTGATATTTACCACCAAGGTTCCTCATTACCACCTCAACAACGTATGTCATGTACTGATATCAGCTCTGGAGACACAGCTCACACAAAATATGCACATCAGCAAAATAGGGTCACGTGTATGAAAAACACTCCAAAGGTACCATTTTGATTCATATTAAAAATTCAGAATGGATTTATTTCTTAGCAGAAATCCCCCATATGACGCTTAATGAACTAATGATTTTCTATTAGGACCTATTAGATGAACCTACGCCAGCACCCGAGAAGATTTATAACAAGTTATTGAATCGATGGCATAAACAGAAATAAACGGATATGAACTATAAGCATTATAATGGTGAGGCTACAAAGTGTTTAAATGACAGCTAAGTACATGAAGAAGAAATGTTTGGTGGGATATGGGCCAAGTGCAGCCAGGAGGGGCTAGTTTCGTTGGGATTATGGTCGGCATGAACTGGTTGCCATGCTGTTTAAATATGATCAAGCCAGGCACTGAATATTTCAGATTGAGAAAGAATAAGCGGAAAGAAAAAGGTGGTGGGTGCTTTGTTATTATCCTGATGTTATAAATATTAAAGAGACATTATCTCGGCTTGAAAGATATAGAATCAATTCAGGTTTAAACAAGAAATAGCAAGGAAAGACTTACTGGTGTTAGTAGTTTAAAGGCTTCCTAACAGTAGGTATTCTAAAGGAATGGATATAGATCAAGTAATAAAGGGGTCTTCTAAGCAAGATACTGCAATAAAGGGATAGGCAAAGTAGAAGCAGAAAGAATGCTTCCCCTGGTTATGCAGTCCAGAACCAGGTAACAGATTCTCAGAATCAGAGGCAAGCCATTTAAGAACTGAAGGGGAGAGAAACATTTCTCTGAGTGGTATGGTGCATCTTTGAAATTCTCAGCCCCAGAGGACTGTGGAAGATCAATCATTTACTAAGTTCAAGTCAGAAATTGATAGTGAATGTGCAGGTTGTAATATTCTAAAGTTTCCTAAATTAAGGGCATGGGAGCCCAGCAAGCCTATCTCACTGTTCAATGTGCATCATGGCCGACCATCCACTTCATATTCTGAAGCGTCCCAATGCATTCAAAAACTGTAAACGTAGCACCACTATTCAAGAAAGGAGGGAGACAGAAAGCAGGAAACTATAGGACAGATAGCCTAACATGAGTGATTGAGAAAATTCTGGAATCTACAATTATGGAAGTAGTAAGAAAATGTGCTTTCATCTGCTATGATGGGAAGAACCAAAAAGCATAATGTTATTTAAATGGAAAGAGACTGTAGAATGCTGTGGCACAGAGGGATCTGGGCTTTTTTATGCATAAAACACAAAAGTGTTAGCATGAAGACAAAGGAAGCAATTAGGAATATAAATGGAGCATTGGTCTTTATTGCAAGGAGAGTGGAGCATAAAACTAGGAGTCTTACTTCAACTATACAGGGTATTGGTGTAAAACAAAACACACCTACAGAACTGCGTACAGTTTTGGCCTCCTTGTTTCCCAAAGAATATACTTGCATTGGAGGAAATTCAGGTAAGGTTCACTCGGTTTAGTATTAGGATGACGGGCCTATGTTATGAGGAAAGGTTACACAGGTTGGACCTATACTCACGCCTGCAGCTAGAAGAATGTAAAGTGAAACTTACAAGATTGAGAGGGTGACTCAATGTCAGAAGGTCATGGGGGATTTTAGAAGTAGGGGGCATAGTTTCAAAATAAGGAGATTGTTCCTTTAAGATAGAGAAGAATTTCTTTTGAGTACTGCGAATACTTGAATTCATTACCACAAATAATTGAGGAAGGTAAATCATAAGATACATTCAAGGTCAATATTGGACAGATTTTTCAACAATAGGAGAGTCAAGGGTTATTGGGTGCAAGCAGAAAAGTGGAGTTGTTGCAAAAATTAAATCAGGCAGGATGGTACAGAATGACAAAGCAGGTCTACTTCTGCATCATATTCTTAAGATTTGTCAAGTTTACTTTGCTATAACAGTGTTGTATAAAATTGATTTCAGTCAGGGAAGGTTGAAAACTGCAAGGGAAAACATTGGGATAAAGAATAAAACAGAAACTGCCCCTGTAACTCACTGTTCTTCTTCCGTTGCCAAAATATTTCAATCTGTTGCTTGTGGAGAGATTTTCCTTTTTTCTTTGCATTGGACGCAGATGCCTTTAAAAGAAATGTGTTTAGAAATGTAGAAACACAGAAAATAGGACCAGTAATTGGCCATTGGGCCCTCAGAGCCCTGCTCCACCATTCACTTATGATCACAACCGATCAGACTCTGCACTCTGTTCCCACTTTCTTCTGATACCCATTGAGGCTTGTTGCAACACCCTCCACATTCACTACCTCAAACGCAAATACTCAAACTAACAGGAACTAGGTTGCAGAGGCTCGCCAGTCCTCTGGCAATCAGGATTTCAAATGTTTTTGGGTGGGGAAGAAAACTATGTGTGGGCTGCCAATACAGGTTAGGCGATAGCCTTAATTCATCCAATAACAAAATAGATGTTAATTCTCACTGTAGCTAAAAAGAGAGTCTAAACAATTAGGACCTGGGCAATGACTCAGTCTTTTAGCTGGCATTGGCTTTGAGGACTGTGTGGGGTGCTTCGAAATTTGAGATGAGAAAAACTATGAATTACAATTTTCTTCTGTCTTACATATTTCGGTGAAAATTATGAACCAAAAGGTTTTGCAGCACAGAAGGCAGCAAATTCTTGAATAGTGAATTCTTGAAAAAGCTGTCCTATTAATTCTTTCACCACTGCCCAGTGAAGTTTACAGTTTCAAGCATTTATCCAATTGCCTTTTGGAAGTTACTATTGAATTTGGATCCACCAATGTTTCAAACAGTTTATGATTCCACATCATAAATAACAGTAAAAAAAATTATAGCCTCCTCTCTGGTTCTTTCTTCCAATTATAATGAATGTGTCCTCTGGATATCAGGTCTCCTTACTCCTTACTTATTTCTTCCTTACAGACTTGAGTAAAGCTTTTCAAAGTGAAGAAATGCAATGAAACATATCCTGATCCTTTCATATCCATCCTTTATGTTAAATGAAATAATAACTTGCCTCACTGAGAGGGTTGCACTGTAATAACACATCAACAAGACCATGGAGGAGAAAAACTGACTGGGTTCTAAACTAATAAGCATTATCTGAAAGCCGATAATCACTGGGGACTTGCAAATTGACATTGAAAAACTGAAAATATTGTGAATATTCAGCAGATCTGATAGCATCTGTAGTCAGATAATAGTGTTAACTTCTCAGGTCAATGGCTCTTCATTAGAACTCTACTCCTCTTCACACATGCTACCTAATCTGCTAAGTATTTCAGACTTTCAACAGCCATAGTAATTTACTTCTGCAGTGGAGAATTCAGCATGTGCTTCCAAAAGTGTTGTCAAATGAAGGGTTTTGCATACGGGGCATTGCACCTGTTCCACTTCTGAGCCATTCTGCTTCAACCAGACTAGAATCATGACACTGCACACTGTACAATCAAGGCTGTGAACCGGACTTAAGCCTTTTGGGACAACGGGCTCAGGCAATGGAGAAGTTAGAAAGATAAAAAGAGAAGTTAAGGCAATAGAGCACCTTAGTGATTTGAAAAAGGGCAAGTGGAACATGATGGGACAGTTTGTACAACTGGAATTGCGCATCAGTGAACAAAGTCCATGGAAAAAATGGTTAAAAATATTAAAGCCCCCTTATCTAAATGTATCTGTAAGCAATCATAACAGGACCAGCAAAAAGAATAGCCGCACAAACAGGCACAAACACGTTTGATTTAATCGCCAAAATAGAGACATGATTGACCAGGTTAGGAAATAAATATTCCAGAGTACACATCAAATTTTAAAAAGCACAAGCAGGATGGAACAGGAGGAGTGTCATGATGATAAAGAGTGACATAAAGACATTTATGAGAAAAAATCTTGGTTTAGAAGATGATAAATTAGAAACATTATGTATGATAGGACATAAGGAACAACAAGGGTCAGAAAACACCAGTGGGGTAATTTATTAGCTTCCAAAAGTAGTTATACTTTTAGAAGAGCATTAAGCACAAAAAAATTGAGCTTGTAACTAAAGCAATTTAATAATCGTGGGCTATTTAGTATTCATATAGACTGGACAAACCAAACTGGCAAAGCTAGCCTGGCAGATAAACTTGTAAGGATGCTTTCATGACAGCTTCCTTAAATAGCATATTGTAGGACTAACTATTGACAAAATTATTTTAGATCTAGTATTATCCAATGAAGCTGGGTTAATTATGAATTGCAGAGTAACAGATTAACTGGGATTTAGTAATCACAATACAATCAGATTCCATATTAAGTTTGAAAGCGACAAGTCTACAACAAGAATCTTAAAGTCAATTACATAGGTAGGAGGAGAATACTGGCTAAGATTATTAAGAAAATAGATTAAAATTCAGGTCAGTAAAAATTAGCGGGAAGCATTTTTTTTTAATTCAAAGGAAAGCAATCAACAAAAATGCATTCTATTAAAAAATAATCAGGAAACTAAGGATCATGATTGATTTAAAAAGTGCAAGTGATAATATTGGGAACCTGAGGATTAAGAGAGTTCTAGCAATGCTAAATTCTAGAATAGTACCAGCAGTTGGCAAATGTAAAACCCTATTTAAGATAAGAGAATTGGAGAAAGCAGGGAACTACAGGCCAGGTAACTTACATCAGTCATCAGAAAAAGAGAAGTCTTAACATGCACTTGGGAAATCAGAAAGATCAGTTGGGGCAACATAGCTTTACAAAAAGTAAATTGTACTTTCCAGATTCATTAATTCTTTTTGATGGTGTAACCAGTGAATTAGACAGAGGTCATCAGATTTTTAAGAGTCCATAGGTGAAAGGCTGGAAAAGCACAGCAGATCAAACAGTATCAAAGGAGCAGGAAAGTCAATGCTTCGGGCCAAAACCTACCTGGATTTTCAGAAATCATTCGATAAGGTGTCACAAAAAGTCAGTGTGCAAGATATGGCCATGAAGTTGGATATTAGGATAGTTAGAGGATGGATTAACAATCAGGAAGTAGGGATGAAGTTAGCAGGCAATATGATGACAGATGGACAAAGAGGAGGACAGGTCAAAATTAATTCACTTTAACAATAAGAATAGAAATAAAGGACATCTCCTGAAAGGACTGACACTTGTAAATGGGATGTCCAGAGGACAAAAGCACAAAGTTAAAGTGTACAGCAAGCAATTAGGAATACAGATAGCATGCTAGCCTTTATTGCGAGAGGAATGAAGTAGAAGAATAAGGAAGTCTTGCTAATTTTATGGAGCTGGGGTAAAACTATGCCTGTTTCACAAGGTGGGCCTTTGGTCACCATGACTAAGGAACATTTGACTTGAATGTGGCACAGTGAGCTTTGCTAGATTGCTTCCTGGGTTGAAAGGGACGTCACATGTTGAGAGGATGTGTAAACTGCTAATATAATCTCTGATATTTTGCAGAACGAGAGGTGCTGTAATTTAAATGTACAACGATTCAGCGTTTCCCTTGGTTGAGGAATCTAGAACAGCAGTACATAGCCTCAGGATTAGGAGCTGATCATTTAGTAATGGAGAAATTCCTTCACACAATGGGTTGAGAATCTTTGAATTGTCCACCACAGAGGACTGGTGATGCTCAATCATTGAATAATATTTAAGACTGAGATAAGACAGATTTTTAACCTTTCTGTGAATAAAAAGATTTAGCGAGTGAGAGATAAAGTCGAGTTGTATCACGATGTTCGGTGATAAAAATTTGGAACCGGAGGCAGGTCCTTGCAAAAAAAGTTAAAAGAGCCCAAGCGCTACAAAATAAAGTTAACAGGTACACTAATTGAGAGTTGTGAATGCAGCAATCACCTTCAAGTACTCACATGATCAGAGAAGTGAACCACTGCCAGTCCCTTACTAGCTTGGCAATATACCCGCTGCACCTTTCCAAACTGTGAGAAGTGCTTCTTGATGATTTCCTTTGTATTCAGATCCACTGGGACATTTTTGCACTGGATCGTGGTGAGTTCTGACAAAGGAACACTGGATAGACTGTCTGTGCTGTCCACACGACGTAGCCGCCGAGAGGAAGGCCTGCTGCCAAAATCTGAGAGTTTGAAGGAAAATGAGAGAATCAGAATCTATTCCAGAACACTGCAACACAACCCAGAACTGAAAGTGGACCTTCAAACAGGTTCAAGACGTGTGCTCCATTCATCATTCAGGCTCCATTGAGATTGTGATGGATTCATATGCCTACAAGGACTCTTAGTTTGCTGTGCCAATTAAAAAAGATCAGGTTAAGTGATCAAGAAGCAGACACAAGGGAGAAGGGATTTCTAACAAAAAAAATTGAGAAGATAGAACAAGTAACCAAATACAAATTTTGGCAGGAGCCCAACCTTTGTCAAGCTAATAAGACAGTGAATAGAAGATAAATGAATGAGACGGCACAACCTGCACTTTCTACCAGCACCCTTAAGAGTAAATGACGGACTAAATGCTAATGCATTGATCTCTGCTTTGTAAAAAATAAGGGAGGATTGCTACATTGATTAGTGTCAGTTCTGAATCCTTTATTAAAAAAAAACTGACGTTTCCCAGCACAGCCAGGTTGCCAGGTAAACAGACTATTAATCAAGCCAGCAGCACAAACATTAACTGTGAAACACTATCCTATTATTTCATCTGCGACAGGAAAATCCTTTTTTGCCACAGATGCTGTTAGACTTGCTGGGTTATTCCAGAAATTTCTTCATTTATTTTACATCTGCAGTACTTGAATTTTATTTTAGCAAGCACCACATGAGGAGAGGTTCAAATGTAACAAACCAATTGTTAAATAGGCTGCCGATACACTTGGGCAAGTGACAAGAGTAGGGACATGCCTGTGGTAGCTTGCACTAGAATAAGTTGATATTTTCAAGTGAAGCAGAGAAAACATGCACGTAAAAAAGGATAGGGCTCTCTTTCTTCCAGCAAGTATTAAAATGGAGAAAAGTCAAATCTTAAAAACCTCCTTATATGGTACTTTACTTACACAATAAAATATACTGAATATTCTAAAAATATTTCTGCACTGCTGGATTGAAGATACTGCTAAGTGTTAACTGTTAAGTTGCACACTCTTATTTTGCAGTAAGCCTGCAGTCCAAAATGGGTCTGTCTGTACATTACATTATTAATTTAGAATCGCGATAGTAACTTGCATTAGTCACTGAGTGCCATTACTAACAACCAAATGCAATTTCCAGACATGTCTTCATAGAAATCCCAGCGTGGAAGCAGGCCATTCAGCCCATTGAGCCCACAGTGACCCTCTGAAAAGCATCTTTATCACACTGCATTCCCCTGCTAACCCACATAGTCTGCACATCCCTATTCACTATGGGCAATTTAGCATGGCCAATCCACCTAATCTGCACATCATTGGACTGTGGAAGGAAACCCATGCAGACATGGGGAGAATGGGCAAACTCCACATAGAGAGTCACCTGAGGGTGGAATTGAACCCAGGTCCCTGGTGCTGTGATGCAGCGGTGCTAACCACTGAGTCATTGTGCCACCCCAGAGTTGTATCAACTGTGCTACTGGATGCTATTCCTGCAGTTGCAGGATTTTTTTTGTGGTAGGAGGGGATGATAGAAACAAAGAGGAAAAGGGGCTGCATGGGAAGCAGATTTTTAGATGTTTTTCAGCGTCACAAATGTCAAGGTCTCATCACTTGGTGGGGACTTGGGAGTCAAAGCAATTGGAGTCCCTCAATGGACTGGTTATGTCCTTATTGATTGGAGCTTTGGTTGGTGAGATCTCACTTAAAGGAACAGATCTCAGAAGCAAGTACAAAGAACGTTATATGGATTCTACAGTCAGCAAAAGGTCATTAGTATTTCCAAGTGTGATCAAACATAGGCTTAAGTGAGGTAATCCGGTATGAATGGCTTTCTGTCCCATGTATGAAAAAAAGCAATTTGTATGGCTGTTATTTTTAATTACAGGACAGCATAAGAAAATATATTGGCATGGACCATCCCTCAATTCAGGAGCAGACCATTCAGCCTTTCAAGCCTACTCCATCATTCAATAAGGTCACGATTGATCAAGCTCTGTTTCAATGTTTCAATATTATTACCTCTCATTCTTTTGAACTCCAATGGATGCAGACGCAACTTGTTCAACTATTCATTACTAGATAAGCCCTTTAACCCAGGAATGAATTGAATCAATGTTCTCCTCCTTCAAAGGAGGAGACCTAAACTATACTCAGTACTCTACTGTCAATAATGCCCTGTATAACCACAGTAAAGCTTGCACACTGGAACATTTCATTCTCCTTACAATAGACATTCCATTTCCCTTTCTAACGGCTTGCTCTATCTGCATACTAATGTCTTGCCATTCACATTTCAGGACCCACAGATCATTCCATCACCAAGTTCTGCAACTCTTCTCCATTTAACTATGCTACTTTTGTGGTTCTCTAACCAAAATGGGGGATAGGTTCATATTCTCCGATAGAATATTCTATCAAATTTTTGACCACTCACTTTATCTATGTCTCTTTGCAGATTCTCTACCTTTTTTCACAATCTAGTTTCTTAAATATAACACAGTGTGGAGCTGGAGAAACACAGCAGGCCAGGCAGCGTCAGAGGAGCAGGAAAGCTTTCCTGCTGCTCTGATGCTGCCTGCCCTGCTGTGTTCCTCCAGCTCCACACTGTTACCTCTGACTCCAGCATCAGCAGTCCTTACTATCTCCTAGTTTCTTAAATATTTGGTGTCATTACATGATGTCATACATTGGTTTGCTTCTTACAAGTTATTAATGCAGCTTACGAAGATACAAAATAGGAACAGAAATAGACCTCAGAACTCTGAGGAAGGGTCACCGGGCCGTAAACATTAAGACTGATTTTTTTCTTCACAGATGCTGCCACACCTGCTGAGCTTTTCCAGTAATTTCTGCTTTTGTTCCTGATTAACAGCATCCGCAGTTCTTTTGGTTTTTATTTGGACCTTTGGCTCTTCAAGCCTGCTTTACTATTCAAGATGATCATGGCTCATCTGTTTGTTGCAAATTCCACGTTCCCATCTGCCTCAGGTACCTTAGATTCTTTTTAGGCAATGGAATCTTTTTTACTTAACCCTTAAAAAATATTCAATGACCCCACCTCCACTGCATTCTGAGCCAGTGTGCTCCAAAGTTGCACAATTCTCAGGGTAAAAAAAAAACTCATCTGTCCTAAACGGGCAACCCCTAATTTTAAAACAGTGCCCCTCGTTTTTTTCCAGATTATTTACTGAATTCCAATTCCAACCAATTCACCTGTGGTCCTAGATTACTCATCCAATGACATTTTTACTATGCCACAACATCCCTCATGTCATTGGCAACATCTAATGAGTTGAGTCCTATATGGGTCTTTACATGGACCTCAACTTTTCACAATTTACAATGATTGAGATGATGGAATCAAAGGCATGGTAACTAAATTTGCAGATCACAAAGATAGATATGTAGGAAAGGAAGTTGTGAAGACAATAGGGAATTTACTGATAGATATGCAGGTTCAGCAAGTGGACAGAAGTCTGACAAGTTGAGTATTATGCGGAAAATGTGAAGTTGTTCACTTTGCCAGGATAATAAAAAGAAGCAGAGCACTGCTTAAACGAATGACCTTGAATTCTGAGGAGGCACCGAGGTGTTCAATTCGTGTGTCAGAAAGTTAGTACACAGTGATAACATATAAACAAAAAGAATAATAGGATGCCATCCTTTATTACAAGAGGGATTGAATGTAAAAGTAAGGTGGTTTCGCATCAATTATACAGGGTTTTTGAGAGACCACACCTGAATATTCTGTGCAGTTTTGGTCTCCTTCTTAAGGAAGGAAATAAATGTATCGGAGGTAGTTTACTACATGGAATGAGATTGCCCAAGCTGGGCTTGTTTCCACTGGAGTTCAGAAGTGTGAGGGATGATTTGACTGAAGTATAAAAGATCCTGAATGGTCTTGACAAGGTGGATGTGGAAAGACTCTCTCTTCCTGGGGGTCAGTCCAGCAGCAAAGGACACTTTTTAATGACATCTTAGAACATAGATAAGAAGGATTTCCTTTGAGGGTTATGCAACTTTGGAGCTCTTTGCCTCAGAATATAATGCAGGCAATATCACTGCATATTTTTAAGGTGGAGGTAGATAATTCCTTTCAGGCAGGGGATGGGAACATGAAACAAACAGATCAGCTATGATCTTATTGAATGACAGAGCTGACATTAGAGTTTAAATGGTCTATATCTTCCAAAATATTTCTAATAGTCAGCCATAAAAAGAATAGAATTTTTTAAGACATGCAGCATTACAATATAAACTATCTTTTGGGGAGATATCACTTGCATTCAGTTTCAGAACCACAGTGTTCTATGCTTCTCTCAGAAAGGTCTTTGGTCTTGCTCAGCTTTTTATACAGAATCATTGTGCAATAAACTATAAACCATAACAGTACCCAACAGGACCAATGTATAAAATGCCGAGACGTAGGAGCAGAAGTAGGCCATTCAACAAATTGAGTTTGCTTCGCCGTTCAATGAGATCACGACTGACCTGAAAATCCTCAACTCAACTGCCTTGCCATTTCTCCATAACATTTGATTTCCTTAATGATCGTAAATCTATTAACACTTCTCACTAGCCATCCAACCCATTTTCAACATCTTTATAATACTGTGGAGAGAAAACAGAGCTAATGTTTCAAGTCCAGTGATCCTTCTTCAGAAAAGTTCCTCACCTCTCTCCTAACGGTACAATCCTTTGCTCTGAGATCACACTCTCCAATCTTGAATCTCCTACACAGACAAGCAACCTCTCAGCATCTACCACGTCAAGACCTCTAAGAATCTTTTATGTTTCAATCAGATCACCTCTCATCTTAACTCCAAATAAAGATCCAACCGACTCAAACTCTCCTCCGCATCCGGTATCGGCTTAGTGAACCTTCCCTGGACTACCTCCAATGCCAGTATATCTTTCCTTAGATAAGCAGGACAAAGCTATTCCGTATTCCAGGTTTGGTCTGACACATGCCTTGCATAGTTTTAGTAAGACTTCCCCATTTTTATACTTTATTCTCTTTGAATTAAAAGGCCAATGTTCTATTTTGTTCTCCTATCATCTGAAATTGACTGCTAGGTTCTTGCGATTTATTCACAAGACCTCCCAAATCCTTTTGATCCATAGCTTTCTGCAGTCTTTCTCCATTAAAATGATATTATTCACCTCCTTTATTCCTGCTACAAAAATGCATAAACTCACATTTCCCCACATTATATTCCATCTGCCAAGTTTTGCCCACTCACTTAACCTGTCTGTATTACTCTAACATTTTCCAATTAACAAATGTAAAGCTAATTCTCTAAAGTTACTTGTTTTTTTGTCTCCTTCCCTTTTTGAATAAATGTATTACAATGGCAGTTTGCCAATCCTCTGGGACTTTTCCAGCATTTCTTGATTCCTGGAAGATTATTATCAGTGCTATAAGATGTCATAGATCATAGAATCCCTACAGTGTGGAAACAGACCCTTCAGCCCAACAAGTCCACACCGACCCTTGGAGCATCCGACCCAGACCCATCTCCCTAAGCTATACATCCCTGAACACTACAGGCAATTTAGCATGGCCAGTCCACCTAGCCTGCACATCTTTGTACTGTGGGCGGAAACCGGAGTACCCGGAGGAAACCCATGCAGACACGGGGAGAATGTGCAAACTCCACACAGACAGTTGCCCAAGGCTGGAATTGAGCCCAGGTCCCTGGTGCTGTGAGGCAGCAGTGCTAGCCACTGAGCCACCATGCCATCCCACATTGTACTTCTTTTCTCTCTTCCTTTTGTTCTTGATTATTAGGTAATATTGGAATGCTGTTCATGTCTTCTGCCCTGAAGACTGATGGAAAGTATTTATTCAATTTGTCGTTTCCTGATTTCCTATTAATATTTCCACAGTCTGATCACTCTAAGGGGGCCTATGTTCATATTGAAGCTTATTTTGTGGTAATGCCTTGAGCTCCTAAATTCAGCTGATATTGCACTGCACTGCTCTGCTGAGCTGATCTCAAGCTGCATTGTAAGTGAGACATTAAAAGAATGGTCCTGCCCATTTTGGTTTGTGGTTTGAGGACAGGCAGGGCAGAAATAGGAAAGAATTTCTTTCCCAGAAATTTCTAAGAACACAGTTCCACTTCATGCCATTTTGAATTTTGTTCCAACTGAAGTAGCTTCACTGAATCAAAGCAGGAAAGATCCTACAATTAAAAGAAACTCCATTTGTACAAGGAAATGTCTTTATCCCAAAAATGACACCTCCCTCACACACTTCTACTCACCATCTCTGACTCTCTTCTTTGGTTCTTCTTTTCTCAATCGAGCAGGCCACTCCAAAGGGATGCTTGTCTCAGACAGCAGCTTTAACTTTTCAATCGTTTCACTTTCTGAAGATGTGCTGACTCTTTTAGACTCCCTCCTACTGCCCTTCAACACATCTTGAAGAGTGCGACTGAAGACGCCCGGCGATGGCGTAACTTTCGACAGCCGTTTCCTTGGAGACGGACTGTGTTTGGGCACTGCAACTTGTTCTTTAGCAGGACTGTATTCAAACTGGTATGGTGACCTGTCTCGCTTGTCTTTCCTTTTCATCCCCTTCCTGGGCGTCAGCTGTCCTTCCTGCCCCTCGTGCTTCGAAGTGAGCCCAAACGTTGCTGGGGTTGCAGTGGTTGCCGTTGCACTGCGTCTACCTTCATGACAGCCCTGCGGTGTTGTATCAGTCCCTCCAAAGCCTGGCTTCGGAGTTTGTTTTTCTTCGCCAACTACTTTCTTGTTGGATGCAGAGTGATCGAGCGAGACGGCCGAGCTCGGTTGAGAAAAGGTGTATGGGGTTGAGCTGCTGCCGGGGCTGGGATGGACGAACCGGAAGCCTCCGGGAGCACTGCTCATAGCCGCCGGCTGCGAAAAGCTGAAGGTGTTTGGCAAACTGACAGTGGCCGTCGGCCGGAGCATCCTGTAGAGGCCGGAGGAAGTCCCGCTGTTGGTCGGTTGGGAGAAGCTGAAGGAGGGGCCGCCTACGGACTGTGGAGCGGTGAGGAGGGCCGTTTCCCCGCTGCTTAGCGGCTGCGAGAAGTGAAACGAGGGCCGCTTGTTGGACGGCGGTTTGTTGTCCAGCCCTCCAACCCGCGGCCTTGGGGCGTCCGGCTTCCCAAACCCTCGGAAGCTGCTCTCGGCCGGTCCAAACGCGGGGGCCATCGGGGCGCCGAAGTTTACAGAAGCCGGAAAGGTGCCGTGAGGTTTAAAGCTAAAGGAGGGACCAAGGACGGACGGAGCCCGCGGACCTCCCACCTCCCCCGCCTTGGAGAAAGGAGCATCCTGCTGGCCCTGAAAACCGCTGTCCCCTTTCTGGAAGAAGGGGGGAGGGGGAAACTTGCCCGCGGGATCCATGGCACCACCCTCAGTGAATCGGCTCCTCTAAGTGCGCCCGGCTTCGTATATCAAGCCCGAAAGCCCAGTTCCCAGCAATGAAACTCACTACGCTGCCGCCATTACCACCCAGCATAAACACAGTCCGTTTCCTCTTCCTTCCCTTCCGGTCACCTTCCCTGGAACAAATAAAATGCCGGTGCAGCTATTTCTCGTCTTCATTTCCGGTCCGACTTATTCAGGTTCCCATGGAGAACTCAGGCCCAGATGGCGCTGGTGATCAGGAACGCACAGAAAGTGGTGCCGTTCCGTAGGGCCCGGCTCCGGCGGGACACTCAAACCCTGCTCCACATTCTGGGCCTCGCACGGTTCGACCTGGGTCTGATCTGCGTGGACGACCAGCGGATACAGGCCTTGAACGGGCGGTACCGGGGGCAGGAGGCGGCTACGGATGTGCTGTCCTTCCCTTTCCATCAGGTAACGGGCACCGGGGTGTGCGGCTCCTCTCCCTGTCCCGATCCCGCGAACTCCAAACTGTCAGCCGGATCCCACAACCAACCCCAAGGGAGACCGCTTTTGGAGAAAGGCCAGCCACGTGGAAGGTTCAATCTCTCTCTTCCACCCACCCCCCACAACACAGAGACTGCCTGACCAACTCCAGCATTTTCTCTGAATGGAAAACTGTTTTTATCCTCAGGGTGCACTGTCTATATTATATGTAACACTGAGTACTGCTTCAAGTTTTTAATTGAATAGAAATTGATGGAGGCATTCATGTTTTAAAATACTTCCAAATTTCAACTGTTTCAACTACTTGTAGACAGTATGTTTTGTAATAAGAAAGTATTGTCCCAGTTTTTAAGATACTCAGATAAGTTTAAGATTAAGTGGATGGTTGCTAAATTTCCTGATGGCACCAAAAATAGGGAATAAAAAGTTGTAAACCACATAAATCGTTTGTAAAAGGACGTAGACAGGTTGTCAGAGTGGACAAAAAAAGCAGATGACGTCTAATGTGAGAAAAAGTGAATTTATTCACTTTGGTAAGCAGAATAGAAAAACAGCATCCTATTTAAATGGATAAAGATTGCAGAGCTCTGAGATACAGAGCAATCCAGGTGTCTTAGTACATGAATTCCAAACGTTGGTACGTGGTATGGTAAATGACTGGGAAGGCAAATGGAATGTTGTCATTTATTGCAAGCAGGATGGAACATATAAAAGTTGGGACCTTTTTATTAAAGTTATACAAGGCATTGGTGAGACCACATGAGGTAGGAGTATTAACCTCTCTAGTAAGAAATCCTACAAAATTGCTGGAAACAAGAGTTTAGAGAACTTGTATGTTTGTTAAAATAATAGTGAATTTAGTTTGCAGTTTGTTTCAGGTGTCTTGGGGAGAGATACCTACTGAAGAAATAGCATTTAGTTAATGCACTGAAATTTGGCAGAAGGAAACTGAATGTGTCAGCCTTAGCAAGAGACTTGGATGTAAAGACAGTGAATCTTAGTGTCCTAACGCAGCTTTGTTTGTGGACAAACGCAACATATTAGAAGAGATCTACCACCTCATCAACAGCGTGTTCACAGGGATTAAATTCACAAGGGAAGAAAAAAACCAACAATCAACTTCCGTTTCTGAATGTTAAGGTAGAACGACTGACAAATGTGGAGTTCCAAACCTCAGTATACAGAAAAGCAACGCATACAGATCAAATCCTCAACTACCACAGCAACCACCCCAATGTCCACAAACAAAGCTGCATTAGGACACTATTTAAATGGGCCAGGATACACTGTAACGCTCAAACTATGCCAGGAAGAAGAAGAACACTTATACAAGATCCTCGCTTTAAATGGATATCCCTGCAACTTCATCCACAGATGCCTAAATAACAGACAGCAACAGGAGGACACAGTATGACCTAACACACTTACCACACTTCCCTACATCAGGAACATATCGGAACTGACAACAAGACTCCTAAGACCACTAGGAATCATGGTGGCCCACAAGCCCACAGCCACTCTACGACAAACACTTACAAGGATTAAAGACCCCATTCCCACAACCTACAGAACGAACGTGGTTTACAAAATACCATGCAACGACTGCGGCAAACATTACATCGGACAGACAGGAAGGAAACCAGCCATCAGAATACACGAACATCAGCTAGCAGCAAAACAGCACAATAAACTCTCCTTAATATCTGTACATTCAGACAATGAAGGCCATCAGTTTAAGTGGGCATGCGTGGGAATTCCTAGAGGCATGGTTCTCCACCCATACTTCAATCAACAAGCATATAGAGTTGGACCCCATATGTAAACCCGTACAGATCAAAACCGGAAATGACAGTACTCGCCATAACAGACTGGACAGTATAAATTTCAAGCAGAATAGAATAACATCGCTTCATTGGAGGCTCCACTGATGATGTCACCTAGCATGGTGACGAAACGTCTGAACAAAAACAAGCCTCCTTGGTGAGCAAGTCAACAACCCCATAAAAAGAAACTAGTGTGAGTTTGAATCCTTTTCAGTATATGGAATGAAATCATTCCAAACTTTTTTTTAATCTATTGTAGTTTGTGTTTTTTCTTGTTTTAATAAACCTTTTATTCTTTGTGTTAAGACTACAGTTGCAAATTGTTATCACTGTTCAGCAACTGACATCCACAAATTAAAAATAAATGTTGGGCCAATTAAGCTCTGGGATCTGACTTGTCCAATATTAACATCAGCTGGGACCATAACAATACAATTGCATTCATTCTAGAATGGAGGGCTTGTCTTTGAGGAAAAGTTTGAACATTCTGGGCCTGTATCTATTGGAGTTTTGAGGAATTGGAGGTGATTTTGTTGAAATATATAAGATCCAAAGGAGATTTGACAGGTAGATTCTACAACAGTGTTTCTCTTTGTGGGAGAGACTAGAGCTAGGAGACAGTTTTAAAACAAGGGTCTCCCCTTTATTTGATTTATTTACTTATTGTCCCGTGTTTTGTTACAAAATACAATGAAGAGTGTCATATAGTATTGTCATTAGGACAGATGGGGAGAATGGTTTTCTCTGAGGGTCATGAGTTTGAAATTACCTTTCCAAAAGAGCAGTGGAATCAGGATATTTGAATATTTGTAAGGCAGAGATAGATTCTGGACTGAAGAGCAAGTCAAAAGGTTACCTAATTAAAAACTCCCCATATCATTTCTGTTTACTAGCTAATCAAGCTGTTGGGATGAATCATGAGTTTTGGAAGTTTTTAGCTAGTATTGTTTGGTCCGCCGTTAATTTAGGTTCATTATTGCTGCATAAAGGGAGTTTCCGATAGTGTAAATTAGGCAATTTCAGAAAGATGACACAAGAAGCTTTCACACTGTTTCAAACAAATTTAATATAATTTGAATTGAGAGGTAGATTAGCTTTCCACTTCAGGTTCTCAGTGAAGTAATCACCCATGACTTCCACCCATCCAGGCAAATGGAGAGTACTCCATTACACTCCTGACTTGTGCTTTGGGAGGTGGTATAAAGATATTGGGAATCAAGAGGCAAATTACTTGCTGCAGAATACTTGGCCTTTACATTGCTGTGTGGCTTTTGTATTAGTGTAGATGGTCCTGTTCAGTTTCTGGTCAATAGCAACCTCCAGGATGTTGATTGTGGGGGATTCAATGATAGTAATACTGTTGAATGTAAAAAAAGAGATGGTTCTTTCTTGTTGGAGATGGACAATACTTGAAACTTGTGTGGCATGAATGTTACTTTCCATGACCAAACCAATATCTGCTTGTTGTCTTGATCTTGTTGCACATGGACATAGATTATTTTATAATCTGAGGAATTATGAACACTGCAATCATCAACGAATAGCTCCATTTCTGACCTTATCATAGACTGAAACTCATAGATGAAGGTCCTGTGAGTAATTAATTATATAAGCAGATGGATGAACCATTCTATCTTTCTTTCAGGATCTGAGAGCAGGGGATATTCCCAAACCTCTACACCAGGATGATTATAATCTAGGAGACATCTTCCTAGGAGTGGAATATATCTACGGAGAAAGCCAAGCACACAGACAAGACTTCTACAATGTACTAACAGTATGTATTTTGAATGATTTTCAGTTGTCCTCAATCTACAGGAATTCCATGGAGAAATTTACCTCTACTTAATTTACAGAATTTTTCTAATTCAATTTATGAATTTTATGGGAGCAGCACTGAACTGATTTGCAGATCTTAGTGCTTTTTATTTTAAAGTAATTTTGTGAAACAGTATAGGAGTAAAATTAATCTTTGCCAGAAGTACAAAATGGGCTACAACATTGGCAGTCCATTTTATGTCACACCAGGTTTGGAGGGATATGGGCAATGTGCAGGCAGGTGGGAATAGTTTAGTTTGGGATTATGTTTGACATGGACTGGTTGGACCGAAGGGTCTGTTTCTGTGCTGTATGACTCTATGGTTCTATGACCAAAAAAAAACAAATAAGGTGCAGAAGGGCAGCTGATTCACTAATCCTTGTTGTGCATTCTCACTGAAGATCTAATTTCTCCTCCAGTACATTTGTGCTTAATTGAAATGTAACCAGACCTGTGTAAACAGCAGTTTTAAAATGCTGCAAAAGTAGCCACGTGAATTAGTGAGTTACATCACTGTGAATAAGATTCAACAGTGTTTGTGTGAATTTCTTTAACGTCTGTGTATAAATTTGACACCTTTCCTTGCAGACAAAGCACAGCATGTGCTCAGCAAAGACAAATGTAAAAAAAACTCTCTATTCCTACAATGAAGTTGAGGCTCAAATTTGAAAAGATGTACCCTGGCCCAAGGGAAACACTGTTCCGTTTTCTGTTCAGGACATAATCTGACCTTTCTGCCAGTGTCATCAATTAGTTTGATCTTTATTCCAGATTTGAAGATTTAAGATTTGAAAATGGTGAAACAACAACCTTGTCCCATTTTGAAAAATCACAATTGCAAGATGATGAGTTGGATCACTGAGTATAACCTGTGTATGTTGTTGCCTCTCCGGTTCTTATCAACCTGGTACCAGTGGATTGCCTTACCAAATTTCAAATTTATAACTGGGTCACTTCCCAACATGTTCCATAGCTGAAAAACAACAAAATACTGCAGATGCTGG